TATTCCACCAGATCTCATAGAGTAAGTACTGTCTTACTCTTCCTGGGGATTAGCCTCAGCCTGGGCAGGGCACTTGGCCATTCTCACTAGGGACTGTAGGCTGGGTGGAACCAGCTCTGACTGAACTACATTTTGGTTATCTCAGACTCGTTTAGCATGTGTCTGACCTAGGAATGCCAGTAATTTTGAAATAAAAAAGAAATAGTGAAACAAGCATTTTATTAACCTCTGCTAAACTCTGCTCAACTTCTTCTCCAGTTTTGGATGCTTAGTTGGAAAGGAGTATGCACAGAGGAGCCAAGGAGTATGCTCCACACACTACTAAATTCCAGCACAGGCAGCTAAAACAGTATTCTGATTTTATATGTCTTATTCCAGCTTCATACATACAGATGATTTACACCACCTTCTGTCTTGGTCTTTGACAACCTAAGGGCTTATTTTATACCTCATTCTATACATAAATTTAGAATAATATTAGTATTTTGACACTTTTTAAATGACATGGAAGTACATGAAATGGTAAAAAAAAAAAGAGATAAATACAATGATGGTGATTTTGAAGGTTTCTCAGAAGAAAACAACTGTAATTATGGGGGTTTTTTTCTCAAGTTTTAAGACATACTTTATTCAGATAAAATGCAATGGCCTTCAGTTGCTGTTGTTGGTGGCATGAACTCCATAGTGTAATGATTTTAGCAAGTAGCACTGCATCTCAAATCAAACAGCTTGTCTCATTGCTGGTTCGTGATTGTGGACACTGTGTACCACTGCCTTTTCTTTATAACCAAGACCAGTGTATTACAACACTGCCAAGTTCTGTGGTTCTGAACTGGCATATAGACAGAGGCATCTGAGCCATCAATGGCATTTGGCATTCCTTGCCTCATTTCTGGCAGAGCTGTCTCTCTGGCAGTGACATTTGTGGCCCACATCTCTCTCAATGAAATCACTGGCAAACTTCCCACCACTTTGAATAAGAACAGAATTGGGTTCCATGACCAGAAGATGTATGTTCATCTCTCATCATACTGTAAACAGCAAATGGTCATGATTGCTTTCTAGCAACCCAAACTGAGGGTCTGGCAACATCTGAGAGTTGATTATATTAATGCACAAAGGCACAGACAGAACTTATTTACAACACCAGAAAAGGTAACACCTTGCCTAAGGGAAAATAAGGCAAAATCTATTCCAACTACCTTAAAATATTCCTTCTCTGATTCCAGTAATCTACTTAACAATGAAAACAAAATTCACAAACAAAAACCCTCAAAACATCCCTCCTTGCTGATCACAAGACAAAAACATAACATAAGATGTTGCTACAAATATATTTAAAAAATCTTGTTTAGACTGTTTTTCATTAAAATTCACCTGTGCAATTCATTTCCCTAAACATTCTTTGGAAAGAAAACAGCCTGAAAAGAAAATTCTTAAAATATATTTTCTACTTTTTGCACACTTTTTAGAAAGGGTTTTCTTTATTTCATTCTGGGTGGGTCAATGTAATTCAGCATTGATAAAACTGCAGCACAGGCAACTTTTCACAGAATCTTAAAGCAGTAAAAGGCAAAACAGCAACACCGTTTTAGAAGCAGCAGGTACCATTTCTAGTCTAAGACCTCTACTGAAGGTAGCTGCTTTTCAAGCTTAGCAATGGAACAATTAATAAAGGAACCCATTAAGGTCTGATTGTTGCTGCTAAAAAGAAAGGTTGAATTTCAGTCCTTTGAAGTAACTGAGAATGATTCAGGCCTCATTACAGAGATATAATCTACATTCATACATTTATGTTAGTGATTCAAATCTATTGGGACAGATTGAATTCCGTTAAATAGTGCATCTTTCCTGTGGAACTTTTCTCAGGCTTTCTCAGGCTAACCTAAGAGGTGACCTGACAATACAAAGTAGTGGGGTATTTAGGGATTCAACTGTGCTATAAAAGAAAGGCTATACAGAAAGTAGAAAAAAGAATGAGATATAATCTAAAAAGCTATGTCAGCTTTTCATTTGGACTCTGTTTTCTAAATGCCCTCCCTGTCATCACACGGGATAGAAAAGGACTCTATGCGTTGTAGTAGTTTTAAGTACTGCACTGAATATTGCATCTGCCAGAAGCAGATTTCATATGAAAGTCTGGATAAGTGAGTTTTATTCTTAACCACAAAATCTTACAACCAACATTCAGCCAATCACAAGCTAGAAACAGGTCTAAGCAGAACTCTTCTTGAGTAAATTCAAGACAGTATGTATCTTTTTAATAAGTAGGGGTTAGATATATCTGTTTGACTCCCAAACTACTGTTTTCTCTTTCCATCAGAGATCCTAAAAGGCTGATTCACTGTATTTTTCAGCATTTGACAGGAAAAAAAAGAGGAAAAATAAAAAGTTTCTTCAAATGTATAATTTTAAGATGCTACAGCAATTATTTATGATTTAAGATGCTGGAATCAAAAGGACTTTAGTTTTAGAAATAAGGCGTTGAACCCTTCATGACCTAGACAACAAACAAACATTGATATCAGCTTTATAGACATAGATGTAAGCTGTCAGGCATCCACCAAAAAGTAGGCTTTTGCTTTTCATTTTGGTTTTCTTTTTTTTCTTTTATTAGTTGCCACAAAAGGAAAGCCTCAATCAGATTCACAAAAAAATTTCTGAAATGTTTTGCACTCAGTGCAAATACAAGAAGAATAAATACTCTGAAGTACCATAAACAACATCGTAAAACATATTGATTTTAACATTAAATGGTTTCATTTTTAAGGCTGTTTAAATGTCACCCCCAGAAGCTGAACACATAAATTTAGGAACCGACTTTCTCCAGAATAAACACTATAATTGGAGAAAATAATTTCTAATTTCTGTTGTGAAGATAACGATATATTTAAAATCCTAATCTAATGAAGCAGTCTAATTTTAGAACTATTTGTTCTTTTCTGCACTTTCTGTTGTTTAAATTAAGATTTACCCCAAACGCCAAATGCAGTTGCATAGGTGATTTTCCATTGCATTCCACTGATCTGCATTATTAAACTCCCTCTATTTCAAAAAAGTTCTGGGTTTACGTATTGAGCTATTCATTGTGTTTCTGTAGTCCATTCTCCTAGTGAATGTTCCACCTACTTGCATTCAAAACCAGTTATTTTTACAACACTAAATACTGAACCAAAATTTAATGTCTTGCATGCTGCCCATATCCTGTCAGCCCCTGATCCCTTATGGTGTTAAAAGATAGTACATCATATGGAAGATGCCTGTTAATTACTGGGAAAGTTGACACTTCAGTGATAGGCTAGAAATATGGATGTCATAACACTCAGTATGTGGAATGACATATCCTTTAGGAGAGATGGAATCAAAACCAAAAACATGATGTCCCTCCAGGAAAATAATAGCTTGAAAAATTGCTTTAAAATAGCCTTGAAAATGGAAAAATTTTTGCTTTCTGGCAAAGAAAACTGCATTAGTCAAAAAAAAAAAAAGGCAGAAAAATTCAGGCAGATTTTATAGGGAAACCTTTGCAATCCCAGTAAAGCCCCTTTTGCTTTGAAGTCTGATGCATGATTCAGTAAATGACTCATGTTAGCAATTAGAAAATGGTCATTTAGGGCCCTGATTTCTTTTGAGACAAGGAGGGTGAGGGTGGGGAAAGAGACACAATAAATCTTGAGAGGCTTAAAAGGAAGAACAGGCTAAAGTGTGAACTTTTTATTTCAGCAACGGAAGCAAGAAATCAGTGATTCATTAAAGGAGGGAGAAAGACCTCCATGGAAGCTGGCAAAGAAAAAGGAAAAGGAGCTAATTATGTCTCTTCCCTTTTTACTCTCTCTGACCAGCATAAAATCTGCCTTTCTAGGGTCTGCCTGTAGTATATACTTCTTTCCAACCTCTCCACCCAACCCCTCCTCCAGCGAGGGGAGGCGGGGGGGAGGGGCCGATCTAGCAGGCAACAAGCTCCAGGTGGCTTTCTCAAGCACTTCACTGCCAAAAAAATAAAATAAAATTCACTGCTAGAAAACAAGTTTCTTTATTTTTTTCCTTTTTTTTTCTTTTTTTTTCCCCTTTAAAAAAAAAAAAGAAAGAAAAAAAAAGCGGGGAGGGAAGCCTCCCTGGAGGAGATTGGTTCAGGGAAAATAGTAAAGGGAAATGAGTAAAGCAGGAGTCTCCAAGCCGTGCTGGTGGCCGGCGCTCCGAGGAGCAGAAGGCTTAGGCGCAATTAGCAGCGAGCCGAAGGCGGCGGCAGCCCGGGAGGAAGCGGGGGCAGCTCCCGGGGCTCCCTCCGCAGCAGGCACCGCTCACTCCGGCTGCAAAAGGGTTTCAGATGTCCCACCGCTGCTTGACCCCCTGCAAATAAGGGCTGACCACCAGAGGCACATCCCACCTCTGACTTGTAATCGCTGACATTTAGGCTACAGCTTCCAACCTGTTTACAACCAAAGGGGGAGGGAAAGGAAGGGAAGGAGGGGAGACAAGTTGGGATTTTTCCCTCTCTCTCTTTCTTTCTCTCTCTCTGGATTTTTTTTTTTTTTTTTATAATACTGTTCTGGAGAATTCAAAGCAAAACAAAGAAACTGCCTCCTCTGGGGTTGTCAGTGAGAAAGGACGAATTGTGCAACTGGTTTGGGATTTGCAAAAAGGCAAGGGGGTGGGGATCAGAAGAAGGTGCAAAGCCACAAAGTGTGAGTGCGTGTGTGTGTGTAAAGGGGTGAAAAATCCCTTCCAGCACCCCTTTCCGCTGGTTATTATTTATTTCTGTTGTTGTTCACTTTGCTGTCATCTATTTTTCAGACCTTTCTGCATCTAAGATGGTGAAGAAAGGAGTGAGGAAGAGAACAAAATAACTACTGGGAAGTCTCAAACCAGGTTGGGGAGTGTGTGTGTATGTGGCGGGGTGGGGTGGGGAAGAGAAAAAGGAAAGAGGATTAACCACAGCAACCACCTCCTCCCCCCCTTATTTGAACAAAAAAAAAAAAAAAGAAAAACAACAAAAAAACGAACAGCTCTTTTTTTCTGAGGGTGGACTCGAAGGATTAAAAGGCAGCAACTTCTGAGGCGATTTGTCCCCTGAGTTATGGATGTTGGTGCACTTACTTCAGGCCAGATCAGAGCTCAGAGGGATCTAACCAGAAGCAGCAACCACCGGCTCTCCACTTGCCTTTTACCAGGTTTTACCCTTCCAGTATGTTTCATTTGATAAGACACTTTCCAGCTCCCAAAGTTTCAGTACAATGTGCAAATGGATACTGACAAATGGTGCCTCAGCCTTTTCCCACCTGCCTTGTTGCTGCTTGCTGCTGCTCTTCTTGGTGTCTTCTGTGCCTGTCACCTGCCATGACCTCGGCCAGGACATGCTGTCCCCGGAGGCCATCAACTCTTCCTCTTCATCATCCTCCTCCTTCCCCTCGTCCTTCTCCTCTCCTTCCAGTGCGGGGAGACACGTGCGGAGCTACAATCACCTCCAAGGAGACGTGCGCAAGAGGAAGCTCTACTCTTACAACAAGTACTTTCTCAAGATCGAGAAGAACGGCAAGGTCAGCGGCACCAAGAAGGAGAACTGCCCCTTCAGTAAGTACCGCTCTGCCGCCGAGCTGCCGGGCA